TATTCGCATCCTCCTTGCGCGCGCAGCACATGACGATCTAGAGATAATGGCATTTGACGTGAAGACAGCTTTCCTTCACGCGCATCTTCCCGATGATGTTGCGGTGTATACRAAGCAGATCCCCGGTTTCCCTCTCGATGATCCTGCGAAAGTCTATCGTCTTCGGGTGGCCCTATATGGTCTCCGTCAATCAGCCTGCGAGTGGTACAAGCTTCTCAAGAGCTTGCTGGTGGGATTTGGTCTGTTCCGCTGCGACACCGACCATGCCGTCTTCGTGGGTTCTTGGACTACATCACCACACTCTTCTGTCTCCATGCCCGTGTCTGGTCGCCCGCTCGTCATGTATATCCCTGTTCATGTTGACGACGGTCTTGCGATTACCAACTCCATCCCGCTCTATGCTTGGTTTCTCGATGTTCTGGGAAAGCGTATCGAACTCGTGGATCTCGGGCCTGTTTCCCTGTATCTGGGAATGCACATCACTCGCGATCGGGCTAATCGTCGACTGTGGATATCCCACAAGCCAATGATCATCAATCTCCTCGAACAATGGAACTTGCTCGATGCGAAGCCGGCATCTATCCCCATGACACAATCACCCGACAAACTTCCCTCTGTGCAGACAAACTCCTTGCCAAATGTACGCGATGAAGATCTCAAGCTGCTGTACCAACGACTTTGCGGTACTTTCAACTACCTCACCCATGTCGGCCGCCTAGACATCGCGTATGTCTCATCCGCCCTATCACAATACTGCTCTGCTCCCACGCGAAACCATTTGCTTGCTGCGAAAGTTGTGCTACGTTACCTGTCAGGGACAGCCGACCTTGCTTTGCAGTACCCCGCACCAATATCGTCCGTGCCAGAACTGGTTCGGCCGTATGTTGATGCATGTGGTCTCTCGGACGCAGACTGGGCTTCAGATGTTGATGATCGTCGGAGTGTCTCGGGATACTGTTTCTATTACTTGGGCTGTGTCGTGTCCTGGACTTCCTCGAAACAGAAAGCGGTATCGGTTTCGTCGACAGAATCGGAATACTACGCGATGTCACATTCCATGCAAGAAGCTCTATGGACACGGATCTTCCTCTCAAATGTCGGTTTCGAAGTCCCACGCCCATTCCCACTCCTCTGCGACAAMCAGAGCACMTTGAAGCAAATCAATAACCCTGACTCTGTCAACTCGCCCAAATCCAAACATATCGATGTTCGATTCCATTTCATCCGCGCGAACGTGCGCGATGGTTTGTTCGATACCATTTGGATTCCGACAGCTGACATGATAGCTGATGTATTCACGAAGCCTCTTCCCCTTCCCGCATTTGAACGTCACCGCAACAGTCTTGGACTTGTTTTTATTTGATTTTTTCAATTTTTTTTCTCTCTCATTTTTTTCCTTTCTTTTTTTCTTATCATTTTGTGTTCTGATTTTCTCTCGACCACCGCCATGATGGGGGTGTGTTGACTGTAGTCATATCATGGCTTGTTACATCGTACGTGTCGCATCACGTGCTCACACTATA